GGGCATGGTGGCGCATGCCTGTAGTCCCAGCTACTTGGGAGGCTGAGGCAGTAGGATCACCTGAGCCCAGGAGTTTGAGGTTGCTGTGAGCTAAGCTGCGCCACGGCACTCACTCTAGCCTGGGCAACAGAGTGAGACTCTGTCTCAAATAAATAAACAAACAAACACATAAACAAATAAAATTTTAAAAAAGAAAAAGAAAAACACTGCAACCACATTTGAGTGGTGCCAGAAAGTTCTCTGCAGGCCCCCATGTTGCTAAGGAGGCTAATAGGGCAGGGCCTTTGCACTTGCTGTTCCCTCTGCCTGGAACGTACCCCACAGGTGTGCACAAGGCTGGCTGCTTCTCCTCCTTCAGACCTCAGCCTACCTGGCTGTCACCGCCTCCCAGGGGTCCTTCCCACCCTACCCCCCATCACCTCCCCCTGAGGGTCTTGTCCCCCAGCTAAAGATTGCTTGAGCCCAGCAGTTCCAGACCAGCCTGGAGGTTCCTTCTTGCCCTCCCTGGCTGAAATTACCCTACCCCCCGCCCCCGCCCCGTGGGTCCATGGCATTTCCTGTTCCGTCCTCACCACAGCAGTGAGGCTCAGAAATTATTCTCTATGGTTACTGCTTTTCTGGTTGGTTCACCCATTTTCTCTGACAGAGAGATTAGAACTCCCAGAGCAGGAAATATTTCTCTGTTAGTTCCACCTCCCAGTGCCCGGCACGTCCCCTGGCACACAGCGGGCCCCCTGCCGACATTCATCAGAGGCCGGATTCCTCCCAAAACAGCCAGAAAAACAAAGTTGAGTTTCTGTGTGTGTCCTCAGAGACAAGGCTGGACCTTGGCCTTGGGTGGCCGACATCTCGTTCCAAGCTGCCTTGGCTCCATTCGTCAGGGTGCTGTGGAAGGGACGTCGCCACCCCACCCCCGCGCCCAGGGCAGAGTTCTCTGCACTGCCCCAAGTTCTGTTTGCAAGTGCAGGCTCGAGGTCACACGCTCTGTGGCTATTTTGGTCTTTGGCAGCCTCAGGTAGAATTCAGAAAATCCGAGAGCCGGCCTGGGCGGGCTGTGGGAGCCAGACCCGAGCCACGTGGGAGAAGAGAACAAACCCAAATGCTTCCAAAGTCAGGTTTTACAACCCAAATGTGTCGTGTGCTCCTGGTACGGAGTGCGCCCATTGCTAGAAGTTGGGGCTGTGGGGAGAGCAAGCCACAGATGTCAACGTCCCCTATTGCAGTGGGATAAACAGGGGGAAGGGGCACAAAAAGACCCAGAGTCAGTAGTGATGGGGAGAAACCGAGTCACGCACTGCTGCCCCACGTGACTGGCGGTAAAGACTAATGTGCCCTGGCAGCCCTGACCCTGCGCCCACCCTGTTTTAAACACTTCGCTTGTGTTCTCCTTTTTAACCTCCCAAAACTTGGAAGGAGGGACTCTTTTTTATTTATTTTTTATTTATTTTTATTTTTCAGATAGGGTCTGTGTATGTTGCCCAGGCTGGTCTCGAACTCCTGGGGTCAAGCGATCCTCCCACCTCAGCCTCCCGAGTAGCTGGGACTCCAGGTGCTACCTTGCCCAGCATGGACAGACTATTTTTAACCCAGTTTGCAAAGTGAGGAGACTGAAAGGCTCAGAGCAGCTAAGCCACTTGCCCCAGGTCACACACAGGTGGGGTTGGGATTTGGAACTGGAAGTAAATGGGCACATCCTTAGAGGACAGTCCCACTTAAAAAGTTCTCGCTGAAGCTGCCAAGGTGTAAGTTCAGGGATACAATCTGCAACAGTGTAACCGGCAACCAGGGCAGAGGGTCATATGCACTGCAGGAGTGGGGGGCGACTGCAGGATGCAGCGCTCCAAAAGAAATTTAAAACTGGGTGTGGTGGCACACACCTGCAGTCCCAGCTAGTCTGGAGGCTGAGGAAGGAGGATCTCCTGGGCCCCAGAGACCAGCCTGGGCAACAAAGTGAAACCCCATCTCTACAAATAATAATTTTTTTTTTTTTTGAGACAGTCTCACTCTGTTGCCCGGGCTAGAGTGCCGTAGCGTCAGCCTAGCTCACAGCAACCTCAGACTCCTGGGCTCAAGCGATCCTCCTGCCTCAGCCTCCTGAGTAGCTGGGACTACAGGCACGTGCCACCGTGCCCGGCTAATTTTTTCTATTTGTAGTTGTTTGGCTAATTTCTTTCTATTTTTAGTAGAGATGGGGTCTCGCTCTTGCTCAAGCTGGTCTTGAACTCCTGAGCTCAAGCGATCCTCCCACCTCGGCCTCCGAAAGTGCTATACAAATAATTTTTAAAAGTTAGCCAGGCATGGTGGCACACGCCTGTAGTCCCAGCTGCTCAGGAGGCTGAGGCAGGAGGACCGCTTGCGCCCAGGAGTTTGAGGCTGCTGTGAGCTATGATGATGCCACTGCACTCCAGCCTGGGCAACAGAGTGAGAGTCTGTCTCTAAAATAACAGAAAATTTACCATCTTGACCCATTTGTAAGTGCACGGTTCGGTGGGATTAAATACATTCACTCTGTCCTGCAACCATCACCACCATCCGCCTCCAGAACTTGTTCATCTTCCCAAAGAAAAACTCTGTCCCCATTAAACGCTAACTCTCCATTTCCCCTCCCCCAGCCCCTGGCACCCACCCTTCTACTTCCTGTCTCTATGAGTTTGACTACGCCAGGAACGGCACACAAGTGGAATCATGCAGTATTTACCTTCTTGTGACGGGCTTATTTCACTCAGTGCAATGTTCTCAAGGTTCATCCGTGTCGGAGCGCGTGTCAGAATTCCCTTCCTTTTGCAGGCGGAATACTGTTCCACCGTGTGGATGGACCACACTTTGTCCATGCATGACTGACGGACGTGGGGGCTGCTTCTCCCTCTCGGCTACCGTGACGAGTGCTGCGGTAGTCATGGGAGTACACGTATCTCTCCAAAACTCTGCTTTCTATGCTTTTGACCACTGGAGTTTTGTAACCTTTTATTTTGAAATAGTTTAAGACTGACATGAGGTTGCAAAATTAGTACAGCCCTTTCATGAGCCATTCACTCTTCTTCCCCGGTGAAATGGTTTCTCTTACTAAACCACTTCGAACCCAGGAAACTGACTTCAGTACAATGTAATGAACTTGGGTAGCACATCGTCTTTCCTAGAGTTTTAAAAAAAAGTTTCATTTGTAAAGAATTGTTCCTTTTAAAATTTGTATGCAATTTTCTTAGGGAGAGAGTGGAGGGTGGCAAATATGGTGGTTACAGGCAGCTGGCCTGGGTTCAAATTCTGCCTGGCTTTTGGCGTGTTGTGTGCCCTCAAATGAGTTAATTCCCCACTTCTGAGCCTCAGTTTCCTCGTCTGTAAAATGGGGAGTAAAGAACACAGGAGCCCCAGTGGCGAAGTCTAAAATGCAAGTATTAGCATAG